GGGCCATTCACAAAGGATGTCCGGGCCAAGGGGGGGGGAGGGGGGTTTGGAAAATCAGGACAAACTCGGACATAGGGGGGGAGGGGAGTTTTTTAGCAATCCGGATGTCCGAAATTTAAAAAAATTCAAAAACAAATTTCTTTTTTCCCTCTATTTTGAGCAGTCCTTCCCATTGTGAAATTGGCATTTTGACTATGCGGTTAACACTAGATTTTGTTTTAATTAGTAATTTATATGTTTTTGTGTTCACATTTACAGTTATAAAAAAGTTCTAAAACTAAAAAAAGTTTTTTACTCTTGATATATACAAGGTTGCGTGAGTTTTTGCGAGGCATGGCGGATGTCCGGGGGGAGGGGTCACTAATTCGGACAATGCCGGACAAGGGGGGGGTCTGAAAATCCATCATTTGGCCGGACATCCTTTGTGAATGGCCCCATAGGGAACCCCGCAAAGTAGGTATGCGTACTGATTCACTCACGGTGTGGTAAAGGACCACTATTTCTAAACATCTGTATCTTTTAATTCTGCATGGAAACATGCAATGTTCAATTTACTCTTTAAATTTACTGTCTTAGAAAGCCGCTTCGGATTTATAGGGATGCAACTACCTTAAAAATTCAAGAGAATTGCGACGTTTCCAGTGAAGGTACTTCGTCGACTTCAGCGTTTTGGATGACCTGTTTAGTAGGTCCACACAACCACCAGGAGGGTTCGGGGGCATGCTCCCCCAGCCGATGTTTTTAGAATTTGGTGCTCTGAAACAGCATTTCCTGCGTTCTGGCGTCACTTTTTAACTAAATTTAATAATTAGAAAATACATGTTTTGAAGAGAATTTTTTACTAATACGCAGCTCAAACAATGAATTGAACCTTTTCGGATATTAGCTAGTGATACTGTAAATATAGACGATTGGCAAATTGCTGACGCATCGATATTTATTAATAGTACAACAAGTTTTAATATAAACATAGCTGTAATTTTAGATATATAAGCTTTCAAACCAACTTTAACGATGAACTAGAAACCAAACTGCAAGAGCGTCAAATCTTCACAATCATTTCCTGATTATCTATCGCCATCGCCATGATTCGGTCACGTACGCAAGATTGTACACATATTTCGCGCTATCTAGTATAGACTGTGTAGTTGCACATATATCGATATTCAGTATTATACAGTAAGTAGAAATAGCTTACAGTTATAACTTTAGACTATATATACAAAGTTACAAACCTTCAAAATGAACAAGTAAACCATGTAAAGCCTCTATAGCCAGCGCAATGATTCAGTCACGCAAAATTATAAACATATTTCGCGCGTCCTCGAGTTCTATTAACTTTCACTATGCAGTTTTCTCGACTCACAGGTTTATGACCGGTTTACATCCGGCGGAGCGCAGCTTTTAGCCAATCAAATGGCGTATCGACGACGATGCATTAGCAGATCCATTGAGTCTAGTAGTATAGTATTACAATTTACAACATTACAACATTTCGTAAGCGCGGAAACCAACGCGATAACTGATAAGTCCTTTAGTTAATTCATTTACATATCCTCAGTCATACGCAAATCTATAGCTACAAGCTTGGAAGTTAAAGCTTTGGTTTACTTCAATTCTAATTGATTTCATCCTATTTGACTAATTTTACTTAAATTACACAATAAATATTCTGTGCTTATAGGCGTATTATAATTACTGTTTAATTGTTCTGTTCAGAATCCATAGTGTCTCAGTGAAATGGCAATGCCAAATTAAATCTGGTGTTTTTTTAATTGTTTTTCCTATAGCTATAGGCTATACACTTTTGCAATGACCTAATCCTTAACTCAGGTTTTTACAAAGAACGAGTCTAACACTCTCTGTCTTTTACTGCCATCCTTCTCTTCTCTCTTTTGCCTAACACGGCCACTGCCCTTCTTTGGTTTTCCATTATTCTTATGCAAACTATATACCTTTTTCATTCCGGTTGACACAGCCATTTCCAGAAATTCTGAGTGTAGCACCCATTTTGTGCTTCTGCCATTCACTGATTCACCAGTTAACACCTTTGGCTTAGCATTCAAGACAATCTTGTGAACTATGTATGTGTGATGAATATGTGAGAAGAGATGAACAACTTGACCAAGGTGCGATACATCTTGATTCTCAGGTAAAGTTATTTCAAATTCCTCCCTTATAAATTCCTTGACCTTTGTCGCCAAGGAGACATCACTGTCAGATGAATCTGTTTCAACAACAAAATTTGGGAACTCCCACAGACCAGCCAGAAGTCCACTTGATGGTCTCTTTGCCAGGAACAACAAGGTATCTTCATCAGTGTGACATTCAAGGATACAAACAGCAACTGTCTCCTGTCGAGCTTCCTTTGTTTTCGCTTTCCTAGGATAGTTACAGACTCCTAGCTCAGCATTCCAGGTTGAATCTCTTGGCAAGCATAACTGACAATCATTGGATATTAATTCTTCAATATCTGTCAAAGCATCAGTGGGATGATCTTCTGTCTGTCTACTGCTGTCAAAAAAACTCTTAATTCCACTCTCATTCTTGTGAACAAAGTGTTTCGCTTGTTTATAAGCAAGACAAATTTCTCTAACAGGACAGCTGCCGCAATGAGGTGATTTAGGCATACAAACTGTTGCACCTAATTCCATAATTGCCTGATTGAAATCACCAGGATGGTCCTTGGCTATAATTTCATCAACTAATTTCCAAAACATCTCCACAGCAACAGTACTTGAAGAGTCTGTGCCAATAATTCGAAGGCGGGACAGGACTCGTACAACATTACCATCAACCAGGCCAACTGGTTCATTGAATGCAATCGATGCTATAGCGGCCGCTGTGTATCTTCCAACTCCTGGGAGAGATTTCTTTAAACTTACTGCATCACTTGGCAATTCACCATTCATTTCATTTACAACCTAAAGATTATAGTTATTAAGTCTTGCAGGCATGTGGTTTTTAGCTGTTTGGGAAAAATGATAGAAATGATACCCCTGTCTTGATGCTTTTGAAGTCATCACAAACATCAAGACAGGGGGTAAATAGAGTGCATGGGCCCCCAATTTTTATATATATATATATATATATATATATTGACCATTGTTAAAAAGTGGGGGGGGGGAGGGGCCAAAGACATTTAGGTCCCCCCTTCTGACGCCCCTGCATCACCTTCATTCCAAGCACAACGACAAAATAGGTAACTGCTCCATTCTTCATGCAGTTATCTGACTACTTGCATTCTCAACACCCACTTTCTGGCACACACTTGGAATACAGATTATAGACATTATAAGACAACCAAGTTATACAAACCTTTTTACACCCCTCGTGTAGTCGCCTTGCCCTGGAATAATATCCTAACCCAGCCCACATTTCATTCACTTCTTCCAAACTGGCCTTGCCTAACTCTTGCATACTTGACCATCGTTTCATCCACTTATTGTAGTACTCTATAACGGTTGCAACTTGTGTTTGCTGTAACATGACTTCAGAGACCCACACTGCATAACCACGACGGTTTCTGTCCGTCTCTTGCGCGCCTATTCGCCGCCAGGGAAGATCTCGTTTGCTCGTGTCGTACCAACTCAACAAATATTGCCTTAAATTTTCAATTTCGCGCGGTGAAAATTCGTGTAGTTTACAAATTTTAGAATCCTTTGAAGACTCGTCTTCCGATAAAGAAGCGTTGGAAGAAGTACTACTTCTGGATCGTTTCGAATTTGACTTCATTTTTGTCGATTTTTATAATAGAGATTTTTAATTTTCAGAATAAATTTTTTGAAAAAAGTAAAATGCGCAAACTCGATCGAATTTCGTCTTTCAGCCTGTTCGCAGGCTGAGCAAGAAGGTTTCAAACATGGCGGCAATGTTTGACTGAATTTTCACATTTTTCACGTGTTTTTGCTTTTGTATTCCATCTATTTGTTTACTTGCGATGGATGAAACGACTGAAGCTATTGAAAGTAAAGTTGTTCATGAAGGGAAGGCAAAAATAACGTTTACTAATCCCAATGAAGTGTTTTATAACCCAGTTCAAGTATTCAACAGGGATCTGAGTGTAGCTTGTATACAGGTTTTTACTGAAGAACTTTTCCCGTTAACTATCAAGTTTAAGAAGAAAATAAAACAGAAAAATGCTGTCGAGGAAGAAGATATAAGTGTTGATAAGTCTTCAGCCAATGATCAATCAAATACAGGTAGTGATATCGTACATGTATGTGAGGGGAGGCGCTGTTTTGTATTAATATTAAGGCCCGTTTTCTCTTGCACTTTTTTGCTGAGAATATAGTTGTGATTATCTTCTCATGGATGTGAACGAGTGAATGAGTTATGAATGTTCAGATGAGGGTATATATAATCGGAACATTCATAACTCATCTACTTGTTCGCATACATAAGAAGAAAATCACACTAGAAATCCGGGCATTCCCAACATTGTGAACATTGAAATAGCGACAAATAGAAAATGAAATAGTGACATTTGACATGAACTCTGTCTAAATCATGACAAAGGACATGAAAATGATGGAAAACAACAAAATTCCAAAAGCGACATTGGAATGTTTTCAAGCGGCAACATTACTTGTCTTGAAAATCAGACAAGTGACTTGCATGCCCACCCTAGCAGGGCCTCATATGTGGTCTATAGAAATTTTCAAATTGTGGCCAGGCTTGATGGGTCATTTGTATGTATCTGGTATGCATTGGTTTCACATCCTATAGATGCATATTCATGGGCTAATTTTATGGTCCACTACAAGTGGTTGACTATGTAGCTCTTTTGCCTAAAAAAGTAATTAATAAAAATGATTTATGAAAGGCACAAAATTTATACTAAGTCCTCCATTGCATCCATGTTATGACAGTAAGTTTCTCTTCTTCACCTTGATGGAAACATTCTTGTCTGTGTGTGGCAAATGCACTTTAGGAATAACCTGCTGAATCATGGAATGACTCTTGTCAAATTTATTGTCATTTCAGGAGAAACCCCAGGCATAGTCTTGTTTGAAGGACTAGCAGCATCTGGATTGCGCTCTATCAGATATGCTTTGGAAGTGGAAGGAATTGAGGAAATTATTGCAAGTGATATAAGTTCAGATGCATTTCAATTGATGTCAAGAAATGTTGAAGATAATCAAGTCTCTCACATTGTTAGGCCAGTGCAAATGGATGCCAGGTGCAAATTGATTTGTAAACACATTGAGTGCCAGCACTTTTCCCTTGACAAGTAAAATTATCTGGTATTAGAAAGAGTAAAATAACAAAGTAGTGCACATTAGGATGCATTATTGCCACTTAAAGGGTTAAATGGATGATTCATTTATATACACCCTTCCGGAAAGTACTGTATGTAAAGCCTCGTTTCTATGATTGAGATGTTGAGCTTTAACACAAAAATGAGGTTCTATACCAAAGTGTCATACTTTCCAGATATGTGTATTGTGGTTAAGGTATGTGCCGGCCTCCATGGAAAATATCCAATACTGTAGCCAGAGTATGATAGCTGGCATGGTAGGCTGTCCATCTATAGGGATACTAATTCTGATAAGACTAAATACTGATAAAAGAAAACACAGTATCAATATTTATGGAGCATTAGGTTATGAGATGAGGGATTAGGGCATATTTTTAATGGGTTGATAAAATCTTCTCCAATCCCTTTCAACAGTTTAGCCATGTATCAAAGAAGACATCCTGTTCAATGTCGGTTTGATGTGATTGACCTTGACCCCTATGGTTCCCCAGCAGAGTTTCTAGATGGTGCTGTCCAGTCTGTCAGTGATGGTGGTATGCTGGCTGTAACATGTACTGATATGGCAGTACTCTGTGGTAACCATAGTGAGGCTTGCTATGCCAAATATGGCAGCATGTCTTTGAAAGGAAAATTTTGTCATGAAATGGTAAGCTGGTTTGGTAAACATAATCTCTGTGCAAAAATAATTTTCTTCCTGTGAACAAAGCCTTTCCTGCAGAACTCCTTGGCTATCTTTTTCACCCTTGGTTATTTTACCCCAGGTTTTTTCACTCCGGCTAGTTTTTTCACCCCTATCTTTTTCACCCCTATTTTTTTCACCCCATCAATTCATGGTTGGATTTACTGTATACTAGAGATTGGTCATCCAACCAGACACACCATCATCATCATTTAAGGCCTGATAGTGCTATCCATTGGCTAACATGTCTGTTGATTTGTATAACTGCATGATTAAAGTTAAGTTTGCATGTGTAATTTGTTAATTGCGAGGGTCCATATCTGGACTTAATGGCTTTTCAAGAAGCTTTGGAACAGTTGTAAAAATGACTATTTGATGAATACCTTTGTACAACCGCCCCCAGAGAATAAAACTGGTCAAACTATATCCAGGCAAATAAACTGTATTTGCCACATTTGCTTGTAATCTATGCTCTAGTGAAAAGTCAGAACAAAAATTCTTGCCTGACATTTTCTTGATAATTTGGTGTCCTTTTTTACACATAAACTGCAGACCCATCATCCGTCTAGATGAACTGCATGCACTTGCAAGTTTGTTTGTTGTAGAAGATCTGCTCGGATATTTCATCCAAAATCTTGCCAATGTTCCACGTCATGAAACGTTACGGTACTGAAGTTATAATTGGCAGCTTTTATGTACACGAACACAAAGCCTTGTGAAATTTGGTACCTGATCCTCGTTCCTGAAAAGTGAAGTTTAGATCCCTTTTCTTCACAGGCATTGAGGATTATTTTATCGTGTATCGACTCACACGCGAACCACTACAAAAGATACATTGTTCCCTTGGTTTCCGTCAGTGCTGATTTTTATATCCGTGTTTTTGTGCAAGTATTCACAAGTGCAGCTGAAGTAAAGCGATCAGCAAGCAAGAAATCGTTAGTTTATCATTGTGTAGGATGTGGAAGTTACTTCTTTCAGCCAGGTTTGTTTTAAAGATGATGTTTTCACTAAAATTGCCCGGAATCAATCGGCGGCAATGGCGTTAAAAATTGCCGTGGAACGTAACAGCTCAGAGGTAAGAACTGTCTACGGCAATTTTGGCAGTTTCCACGGCATTTTTTCAAATTAATAAAAATTTAATTTTATTGTTACTTTGGATTGTTGACAAGCTAGAAACATGTTTACGTTTTTTTGTTTTTTTATTTCGAAGAAAACTGAGACTAAAATAGTAATTTACGCATGATTTGATCAACATCTGAATTCAAGTATCAAAATAGTAATGCACAGTGAATAGTATAAAAATTACACTATACGGCAAAAAATGCCATCGTTGCCGCAATGCTAATCCTTCCACCTTCCTTACTATACACTCGGTTTTTCGCAATTTAGCATTCAACTGCCGGCAAGGAAAGATTATTGATACCCCCTTTATATTTAGCTTTGTCTTTACCTTTAGTTGGCAAGCGTATAGAAGAGGGCAAGTCCAAGAAATATCCTCCAGGGACCGGACCCCCAGTGGGCGAGACCTGCCCGGAGTGTGGACGAAGGTTTCATCTGGGGGGACCGATATGGTCTGAACCTATTCATAATGAAGACTTTGTACAGAAAGTTCTGGACAAAGTGAAGAAAAATCCAGAGAAGTACAAAACGTCAGAAAGAATGGTCGGTTAGTGTTCTCGTATTGCCTTTGTGATTTTATCTTCTTCGGTTCAGGGATTGAAATGAGCGTCAGGTTGCCAAATGCGACCAAATTATTCATCTGACGACCAGATATTCGGTCTTGTGACGACTGAGAAAAATTTAAAATAATAAAGTAGTTCTAAAGCCCTAAGATATCTCAGTGATCATGCATTTCATTCTATAATTTGCCAATGAACTTATTAAACAACTGTTGTTTATGGTATCGATATATAAATAGAACACTTCATAATACATTGATCTAGGTAGACATGGTTTTAAATTTCAGGTGACCAGAATCTAATCCCCCCCCCCCCAATATTTCACGAGTAAATTAGAATACAATTATACTTTTTCTAGGTATGCTGACTGTGATCTCAGAAGAGCTTAGTCATTCACCGTTATATTATACACTCGATCATCTCAGCTCGGTTGTTCACTGTACCACTCCATCCATGGTACAACTGAGATCAGCCATCATGCGATGTGGGTATGACGTGTCAGGATCTCATACTGCGAAGTCAGCTATAAAGACCAACGCACCAAATAAAGGTAAGAGAAATTATAATTTTGAACAGTCTGTGCCAGTGTAGGTCGTGCCGATAACTTCCGGTTTCATATCGCGAAAAAATTAGGGTCGGTAGGTCGGAAATAATTTTTTTTTTGAATATTTTTTTCATGTTTTTTTCAATAATTAGTGTGACAACCGACGCCATTTAATTTTGGCAGCAGCTCTCAACCACCCGGAGAAAATAGGGTCGCACGGTCAATCGCGTTGAAAAAATAATAGGGTCGGCAGAAGAAAATAGGGTCGGTCGGGAACTGGAACCACAGGGGGTTTTTTTACGCCTTAGTGGCCAGCTAATGGCCTTCCCTCGAAACGTCGAAGTTCTCCTTGTATTTTTCAGGTAGTTGCATCCCTATTAATCCGAAGCTTTAGAGAAATTGTGTCGAAGAGAAATTATGTCGATACGTCCGAGTACCGTACTCTCCTTAGGGTTCCTGTAATGGCCTTCGATTGTGCCTGCAATGCAATTTAGTTATTTTGTAAAATCATTTACAAAATAATAGCTTGCGTTAATTACAAAATAACAAGTCGCATAAAATGTGCATTATAAAATTGGAAGATTTCTAACTTTTTTCCGTCATACGGCCGACAGTCTTTTACCAATCTTCCTCTGTTATTTTCTTCTTTAAACAAAGGTAACAAATCATCTAAATACACCCTTCCGTCTCGTTTTCGAGATTGAGATATCGGCTTTATAGTCTTTCATCATATTACTGCATGATGACCTAATTATTTAAAGGTCTTTTGTGTTATCTAATATATCTGTAATGATTTCGTAATATTTCACTTGTATCAAAATAAAGGACTCTAAACCCAATATCACAAATCATGAAAACGAGGCTGTATAACGAAGGCTGTACTTTCCAGAAGAGTGGATTATATACAGTACAGTATGTGTTTGGATTTAGGGGCAACGGTAAAACACATAAATACAGCATAGCTCCATCACTAATCCACATGAACACCGCGCAGCTATAAGTATTACTTATTTTAAAAACTCTTTTTTCCATTTTCCAGTTATTTGGGACATAATGCGAGCGTGGGTGAAAACACATCCTCTTAAAAAGGAACATGAAAATTCACCGGGTCATGTGATTTTAAGTAAACCTTCGCAGACTGAAGTGAGCTTCGAGTTTAAGCCTGGGGCGAATCCTGCCTCAAGACAACTCAGGATGACGAGATTTCCTGAAAATCCTGAGCCAGAATGGGGACCAAAGGCAAGGTATGTTTGTACAAACGTGGGTGGCCAGTGTAGGTAACGTGCATTAGGGTGGTGTATGGTAGAGTATGTTAGGGTATGTTAGAAACCTGGGGCTATATGATGTACAAGTATTATTCTATAAAATGCTACCGCGGCTTGTGTGTGAAGTTCTTCAAAAGGTTAAACTCCTTCACGTTTTGAGCGAAAGCTCTTGTGAGACTTCTGTGTGGTGTTTATGAGACCAACAGTCTCCTGATAAAGGACATTGGTATGGTGTGGTATAGTATGTTATGGTATGGTATTCTACAGTATAATATATTATGGTACTGTATGGCGTGTTTGGTGTGGTATATATGGTAGAACATACATAGTATGTGGTACGACATGATAGGGTACATGCATGTATGGTATGGTATGGTTCTATGGGTGGTATGGTACTATGGATGTAGTATGGTATGGTACTATGGTATGGTATGACATGATATATGGTGCTCAACGGTATACTGTAGTGTGACATGCCAGTGTGCATTTATATAACAGTTGTTTATTTTGTCATTTTTCAAGAGCCCGCAAGCATGTTGAATCTGAAGAACTTACAAAGAAACGTAAACGGAATCAAGGGAAACGGAAGGGTACAAACGATGAAGAAAGATTAAAAAATTTTGAATGCAAGAGGTTCAAGCAAGGTTTGTGTACGTTGGGTGATACGTGTAAATATTCACATTGTTCGCAGGAAACGTTAGAAACGAACTAAAATGACGATGACAAACAATGACAAAATGGCGGACGATGATCTATATGCATCCTTTGCTGTAGCCTGAAAACAGACCTACGTTTCGCCCCTAAAATTCGCAGGTCGACGGAAAGGCTACGTTTCGCCCTTCGTCGACCCGCGAATGTTAGGGCAGGCGAAACGTAGGTCTGTTTTCAGGCTGCCTTTGCTGCGAGTAATTGGATATTAGCCATTCCGAAGTTGATGAGTGGACTGGGGACGAGTGTTAAAAAGTGCCCAAATTAAGAAATGAACCAAATCACTAAAAAGACCACCTCAAAATTAGTAAGTATACAAAGTTTGAAGACGTTTACATGAATATCCTTCGAATAATAAGCTTTCGAAAATCCTATATTTACTATGAAATGTATTGCAATTTTTGTTTTTGGAACGCGCGTGCCAAAAACAATCTTTTAATCAGTAATTTCATAATTTTCGAAAGCTTATTATTCGAAGGGTATTCATGTAAACGTCTTCAAACTTTGTATACTTACTAATTTTGAGGTGGTCTTTTTAGTGATTTAGTTCATTTCTTAATTTGGGCACTTTTTAACACTCGTGCCCAGTCCACTCATCAACTTCGGAATGGCTAATTGTATGTGTTAAGCCTGGTTTACACTGTCAAAATTTTTCTTTCATCAAATTGTTGTAATCCCTTGTAGTGAAAATGTTTGAAGTACATTTTATACCCAAATAAACTATATTTTTATCAAACTAACTTTCATAGTATAAACCAGGCTTAGATAGGTTGCCTTGCGCTGATTTTCAAGTGAAATGACTGTACGTTTACGCGGTATATGTTGCGTGAAAAGTCGTAGTCCGACCCTGCTCTATCTGTACAAAAACAACACTTTTTTAAACATAGCGCCCTAATTAATTAAGTGTTTCAGGGCGCAGATATGACAAACGAGACTTTGTGTAAATATTTAAGTAAATATGGTTTCGGTTGAAACCGAGTACAATTGAAAATATAGGAAGTTATGCTGGACGGAAATGACGTCATGAATTCCGGACATGAGAACGTGGCGGGAAAATATAACCAATAAGCAAGAAGAATATAAATCTGAATGTATCATGATTTTTTTAGTGCAAATCACAGCCAAATATATGCGACACTTAATTTCTATAATAAGACTTTTATTTAATGAACAATTTTAAATAGTTCGTATATATAATTATAGTAAACAATCATAGTTCTTAAACAAATAGAATGTATATTAAACTGAAAACTAATTTACATCAAGATATACAATCCAATACAATATATTAATATATATATACTATAACTCTAATTTGCTTATGCAACGAATAATTCAAAAATCGCCGAAATACAATGGAATATATAGAACAATTAATTTAGATGTAGATAATATAGGTGCTCTTTGTTGCAATTGTTTCGTTATTTAGATTCTTAGGTTTGTGTGGCACGACGATAATGAGCATGCATTCATTTGCATATAAAACGAGAATATCAATGAAGTACATGTAAGAAATCAATAAATATCATGTCAGAATACTTTTGAAACAGATTTTCATGAATTTTCGTTGCATAAACAATAAACACTTTTAAAGACAAATTCATTTAGCTAAGATAAATTCCACCAATCCCGAGTACATATTCGTGAATTAGCTAGAGACATGGCATGGAGTGAAGATATAAACAAGAATATTTTAACGACAATGAAAGAATATTTTACATGTTCTGAACACCGACCAGGTTTGGCTAAATGAAGTTATCTTTAAACTATATGACTAGCATCATCTTTAATTGAATTAAACGAAATTAAAGTTCTTTCTGTAACGCTAATGCTGCATGTATACCATCCTCGGTCCCAGGGCCTCACGGCAACGCGGTATCAGCCGTGAGGCCCTGGGGCCGAGGATGCATGTACACCAATTTGCATGCCAGGTTGTGCCGCAAACATATTCGATGTTGGTGACATATACGATCTAAGAACACTCTGGTTGAAAGTTTCCTTTTTCACCTAGAAATATAACCCTATTTGGGTTAACTTAATATTCCTGGATAAATTTCCTGGTTATTTTATCTCATTTCCTACTACCGGGTGTCCAAAAAAAATGTGGGGAAAAAGGGGATACTGTTTGATTTCACGTAACGTAAAAGAAATAAAAGCTATCGCAACGAAATAACGATCATTTCATTCAGAAAGGACTAATTTAGATTTTGATATGTAACACTTGAACAACCAAAATAGAAATATTTATTATAAGGTAATTATAAGGTTGTTTTATGCTAATATTTGTCATCTTCAAAAACAACGGTTCAACGTTCAAACATCAATAGCGCAGTCAATATTGCATGTAAATTCACATGCTACATATCAAAATCTACGTTAGTCCTTTCTGAATGCAATGATCTTTATTTCATTGCGATAGCTTTTATAGCTTTTACGTTACATGAAATCAAACGGTGCATGTCCAGTTTGTTTTGGGACACCCGGTACAGTCTGGTGAATTGAACAGATCTTTCTGATCAAATTCACCAGACTATGCTATAGGTGTATAGATAACCAGGAAATGTAACTATATGAATATGAAATTAGCCCAAATGGTGTTATTTCTAGATTAATAAGGAAATTTTAAGAGTGTTTTCAGAGTCGATTGAAATTTATAGACATTTTCTGGCACTTACAGTAATTAAATGCATGGTTTTCAAATTACAAAATTCATCGCATGACATGCAGTTGCACATCGTACAGAAAGATACCTCAAGATTTACAAAGATATTTAAAAATAATTTACACTTTCTTTTCTGGATAACACTGTACACAAGTCCAGTTACAGGAAAGTATTTTAGCACAAAAACAAATATTGAGAAAATATCGAAGCTTAATATATCATTATACAATCAATTAAAATTACACTAATTAACTGATATTTATATAGAAATCATTTGTGCAAAAAAATTTTTACTAAATCTATTTATAACAGAATGTGAAATTTGCAAAGCACCGCAAATGACATTTAAAATCTCTGGGACTTCGTCATTGGTGAATTATAAAATCTATAGAAAAGTTTACAATATATATGGCATAAAATATGGCTAAAATATGAATTTTGGTAAATCAATCGAAAAAGGATAAATTCATATTAAAATGTACTATTTATATACTTTCATAATTAGGTGATCGAAAATATTTTATAAGTTCTAGTAAATTCACTGAGATTGATAAGGAAATCTATGTTTCCTAATAAATAAATTTAAAACAGGCTTTCAAACATGTTCCAGTGCTGCAAGCCAAAGTGAGAATCTGTGCTTTCTTTTAAGAGAAAATGAAAGTATAATATCGTCTATAATGTTTTTGTTTTTTTGGTAATAAAATTATATCATATATTAAACTAATATAAGTCTCTTTTTCGAAATCAATTATTCACGTCGTTTAGAAATACATTTTGACAATTTACAAGTTGTCTTTACCAGCAATGAATTCGACTGGTGTGCTTTTCGTCCCTCCCCAACTTTTTTTGTTTGTGTCCCCATGGCCACAATATTTTTTTTATTATTTTTTAAGATAACTATTTATAACATAAAAATCCGCGGTACTTATTAAAAATGGCAAATAGAAACGTACAACTTTATCTTTTGGATCAAAGTTTCATAGAATTTCTGAGCATCTAATTCTTAGAATTTTTAAAGATTCCTGAAAACATCTTTCGGTCTGTATTACAGACGTATTAATTAGTATTTGCATGCAACATTTGAACCGCTTTGTCTTAATCTAAAATATATTTAAAATGGTAAAATATGGAAATGTTTTAGTACAAAGTTTAAGTTAGGAATATAATTTTTCAAAGTAAAAATAAAGTATAATACTAAAAACGGTAGGGCCCATCCGAAGAAATTATTATTAACAAGGTCAGCGTTTGTAATTGCTTTATAGCGTTTAATCTGCATGATATGAAATATTCTGGATTTAGTTAAATTGGCTCATTATACTTCCTGTAAGATGAAGTATATTGAAAGTAAAGGAAAAATTTGCGCTGTTCATAGTTGAACTGAAATTACCTTCAACGCTTTCAAACATCAAATAACTTGTTCTCTAAAAGATATTTTTCACAACAAAGTACAACAAAAAATCCCAGCAATAAACATAAACACGAAATAGTTCGACTTCGGCAAATCATAGGGTGTTTTCCTGTTCAAGTAGCTCAACGATGGTCCACAGACTGAAATATACCTGGACTGTCAAGTCGTTTCTGCGTTGTGATGTTCAATAGCGTTTTGCTGTTGCGCGCGTCTTGTTTACAATTACTTGGAGCGAGAATGAGACCGCTTACAAATGCAACTACAAAACTGAACCTCGTTATAATCCCCCCTTTTTTCACCTTTTTCCAATATTTACACCCCCTCCAGTTTTTCTAAAAACCTGTTACTTCAAAATTTCTTCGTTCGTGTCCACTCCCCGCTCACCATCTGAACGGCAAACTTCGTGGACGGTCTGCACCCTCTTTGACCAGCGGTTTATGAAACTCGCGTCCAGCCCTCGAGTGAATGATCGACCAACATTGTTCACAGTAATACTGCAAGCACGTGACGTTGGCGCAGAAAAATGGCGCGAATTTTCCGCCACAGCGCACCCCATGACATTCATCACACATTTGGTCGTCAAGGACGTAAGGTTTTACTTCGACCTGTTGGTAGAAAACACGATATGTACTCAGCATAAGTGCTTAAACTCCATCATGGTATTGCTTTTAAGAATCTTAAAGATTCTGATTTCTGTGTTCAATTGAAACATGAGTTTGGACTATTAACGTAAATTTTTAAACATGTACATTGTAAACTTCGTGAATCTTCAAAGCCAAAGTGGCATATTTTTAAATAAAAAAAAGTGTCCTTGATTCAGATGTCTTGTAGGAAATGAAAGAGCAGCTCAATCTAACTCAGCCCTGAAGCTGAGCAGCTCAATGTAACATCACTATATAGAGTTTCCTTCATGCGCACTGTAGTACTATGTCTGGTTCGTAACTACTCATGCTATCCACGAAAAACGTCTTAGAAATCCTTACCCTCTTGTCAATGTCGCCGTGTTGAAGCTGAACAAAACGTGCACTGATAGCTGCGATGTAACTTTGTTGGTTGGAAAATGCAACTCGTCCGGCACCTGCAATAATTTGAGGGAAAACTCTCAGCACGGACAAATTTGAAGTATGCACATTAGACGGTGTTGTTACTGATGGAACTATCTAATCCTGGAAAAAGTGTGATCTCAGAATCTTGAGTACTACGGAATATTTTCCGGCAAGGTTGAGGAACATTTTCACATAGACTTTATATTGTGGTTTAGGAATCATGGAACGAGCAAGAATGCTTTATTTTTGCAACACACAATGGAGAAATATAATTTACTAAATATAATCAAATATTTTTTATTTTGTGCACTTTTGAAGAACACTTGAAAAAAGCAAATTTAGGATTCGAGGAACATTAAGCATCCAGGTCTGGAATTTTTCTAACTTTAGAGACCAAATTAGTGTCTGACCCCACCCTGCTCCCAACAAGTAATTTACATCCGTGAAATATACCTTTGGGGTATTTCAGTTCGGGATCAACGTCAATACCAGCATAGCACACGCCTCCATACAGACGATCCATAATCAAGGCGAGTTCCACAGCTCGAAGAGGGCGGGGAACACCTCCGACAAATATTGTCTTCCGTGGATCTAACACTTGGGAAGCATCCATGACAAAGTCTGCATCGGATAAACACCAGGGACGGATTTGAACCTTAACAAGAACAAGATGAGTTTGTTCAAAATATTTTCTTTGGTAGCATTCACAGCTGTTGATGATGAATCTAAATTTGGGCACATCCCTTATTATCCGAGAGGTAAACACCACTATATCAATCGCTGCCACGCCTGCTTACTGCAAGACCAAGTAAGATAATTTTTCTTTTAAGGGCATCTGTTTACACCAATGAAAAGTCTTTCATATAAGTCTTTTATATTTAGCCCAATTACTTAGTGTTTCTATATGCAATATTTACCGCTGTGTTCAAAGCCTGAGCTAAAGCTATGGTATATGAATGAATGGTTTAAAAGGGTGCTTTCAAACGTGAAACATACCGGTTTATCTTTAATTGTTGGACTTGAGACGCACAGATACAGTTTTTGATCCTGTTCAATGCAAGCTTCGATAAGACGTTGCACTGAAATCTCTTCAAGGAACAGCAAGAACGCATAACCTTGAAAAAAACAAAGCGCATTCTGTTAAGTATATACTTATAGGTTTGCGCAGAAAATGTAGACAAGAGTGTAGGGTATTCCATGCCAAATTTAAAAGTAGTCAAACCATAGATTTATGAATACTTGCTCACCTTTTGGAGGAAAGTACGATTTACTCTCAGCTTTGTGAGGCCAGTCGACTGTTAGATTTCCAAACTTGCAAAAACTTGCATGGATTTCAACTACGCAAAGCAAAAATTATAGAATTAATATCTCAAGTAATACGATGTTTCTTTATGGGGCTGATTCTGCATGTTACATTTACCGAGAATAGTTAATAAGAGGCTTATGTTTATATAGTTTTATCATTCAGTTTTACAGTTCAGTGTTTAATGGTGGACACTGAAGAATATGTCGTTGAGGTAGGGATGTATTCTACTTTTCGTGTATTATTTATTCTACGTCGTTTGATTTCCTCTTTCTATTCCACACTGTACAAGTTTCCTCATTTCATTTTGTGATTTTCGCTTATTACGTAACCATCTGGTTTCTCACCCCATCCTAGTTTTTCCTATCTTATCCCAAATTATCCTTTATCTTATTCCTCACATTTGTATATTCTCTTCCTAACGAGGCTTCCTATATCCTTCATATCCTGTCCTATAATTTCTAACCATTCTGTTCCATTCCATATATACTTGACCATTTACTTACTCTATTCCATCCCATGAAATTCCTAGTTAAACTATTATCCTAGCTTTCACTAAAAATTAAAAAGAACTTACAAAAACGTTCACTAGTCCATCCTGACTTATATTCTCCCAACCATGTTCCTAACTAGCCTTCCTTCAGTCCAAATTCCCAATAATATATCTAATCATATTTTCCATTCATTATTCTAGTTTTCTCGTAACTGACCTTCATCAATGTCGGGAGGTAGACCACCAACGAAAACTTTCCTAGAATATCGTTCCAGTGAATCATCTGATTTCGGAGAGGTGTTTAGAGATGAACCCAAAGATGGTACTGTCTGATCTATGGAACAAAACAATATGTCAATACATTATACATGTAAGTACGAAAAGCATTTCATATTTAAAATACCATTCCCCGTGGTTGAAATTTTATTTCCCTAGTGAAGAAATAGGCAAATCCTGGCAGTTCCCTTTTTTTCATGACCCCCTCCGCTTGTATAAGCCAACCACGAGTGTTTGCAATATTTTGCATAAGAACTTATTCATTAGGTGTGATCTTACATGTGATCTTACAATGTGCTAAAGTGATTATTCTTGAATTTCGCAAAGTTTTATAGTCGATACTTTTTTCTATAGGATACTTTTTCAGAATTTACCATTTGCATATATCATCCGCGAACTAACCTTGATTGTATGACTTCTTTTGTAGCTGTGCCCGGAATGCTAAAAAGAAAAATATTAAATGTGGGTAAGTAAAATCCTTTCTAGTATTATTATATATACTCTCCGAACAATATGAAATCCTAGGGCTGGGCACTGATCGGTTATATAAAGATTGTCTTTAACCGTTTGGAAGCATCATTCATTTTAGTAATGTATTTGCTCAAAAAACAATGAAAACGCGAGCCCAAACATTGATTTTTTTGCTATTTATGAACGACTGTTCAAGTTGCTTCCACATTAATCAACTCAGTTTTCAAACAAATTTAATTAGACGTTGTTTTTAATGTTGCTGTAAATGGTTTTTTTAAGGAAAGCTAATACATTCTTCTTTGGTCATACATGCACTGTGCACATTAAAGAAAAAGGCGTTTTCCTTAGAAACATGACTTGACACTAATTCAGTAATTGTTGTCTAAAATTGCCATGATATGCAATCAAGATTCACGAATTGAAAAGCCAAAATAATTTAGAATTATGCATAAAACCCGCGAGGCTCTAATTTAAATTACTATTCAAAAAGATCTCATTTTTAGATAGAAATTTATCAGAAGCATGATCATACACACTGCAAACACATGGCATGAACTTTTTCGCCCAACAAAACCAACATATTTTTAAATAAAAATCCTCAGGTTTTGTAAACAAAACACCACTAAACCATAGTCTAGGGCATGTTTATATGGTTTTAAACCAAATAAAAACGTTAAAACATTTGTGAAGAAGAAAAATTTCAAGAAGAATTCTTTCTTCAGAAGAAAGTAGTTTTAAAGCTACCGGCCAAACTAAATGAAAAATATTTCTTTATTGAAACTTTATACCACTGTTATTTCTTTTCAGAGTTTATTTTTACTCGTTTAAAGCAAAATATAGTCGTAGATCCGCTTTTTAATTATGCGAGAAGCCTTTATCGTACACTGGAATCTCGGCGTCTTCCTGTGAAATATATCACGTCTGTAACTTGCTAGCTTATACACATATTAAAATGAACGGCGCTTCGATCAATATATTTCGGAAGCAGGTGAAACGCGATGGAGGAAGCATTATTTGATAATTTCGTTTATTTTTCTTCCGAATTTAATTGTTTGCGTTGGTGTGGGCGTGAAGACGTTTCTAGCAAAAGCCAAAGCCTGTGTGAGTGGCAATTATTAATGAGCGAAAATTTTCTAGCTTTTGCAGCTTTTAATTTCTTCTAAAAGTTTTAGTTTTTTTTTTAATGATTATGAAAGAAAGTACAAGTAGTTTGTACAATACCATTGGGTTTTAAAAAATTTTGCATTTTAATATTTATGAGTTCATTTCAACCAGATATCACATCAGACATGTTTCCGTTTGTTGTACTCTGGGATTGCATTTTACTTTGTCGTCGAGTAGTGATAGCGAACAAGTCTAATTTTATATTTCAGATTTTTTCTGAATATGTATATTTTCCAATGAAAAAATATGAAGATATTGAGATGAATTGGTGGTATATAAAAAGTATAATATATGATAAAAAGTATATCAACTCCAGTTCAATATCGAACTTTCATCAATTTCGTTTCTTATACAGTAAAAGTTCGATATAGGATGCAATGTACTATATGCAAGCATTTCAACGTCAATTTAGACAATATTTCCGCTCATGAATAATAATTATTTAAATGATTTGCATACAGATGAACACAAAGATTCAAAATTAATTTCCTAAGTTGTCAAATGAATACGAAAGCTTTGCTTGAAAACACAGGCTGTCTATTTACCGCAATAAAACGCAGACAATTAGACAAATAGTATTTCTCGTTGACGTTAAAGCTTTCTAATGTTAAAATTAGTTCTAGTCTGCAATTTATCACCCCATGCAGGAGAAGATTTATCAGATAAATCGACTGGGAAACAGGCTTCGAAAATTAACACTTTCACACGAAAATATTCCACGTTTTGGAAAGCATTTACCATGACTACAATGCTTAATCTCTATATACTGCTGTGCCTCAAGCTTGGTTTACGTTTTATTACAAATGAAACTGATGATTAATTTTAAAGTTCCTGTCTCTATGTCTTCATGCTTATTTCACATATGAAAAGTTGGGTTTTGGTATAGTTTCACATCTGTCGCATGTAAGGAAAGCGCTTCCAGTTTGATTCAACCAAACACTGCAGGATTTCTCTTGGTACTCCGGACTTCTGCAGTAACACTCCACCATGCACTAAGGGTCATAATTTTTAATGGTCCAGTGTTATAGGAGAAACCGGAGAACTAAAACGTCGTGTTTGGTTGAGTCAAACTCGAAACACTCTTCTGTTATGGTCTTTATATGGAAGTGTTATAAATCATGGCCGCGCTTCTTGTGTTTGGGGGACTAGGGATGACCTACATTAGAATTTCATACATCCAAGTATATTGCTCAATATACTGAAATTTTGTATCTATATATATGTTACCCGTTAAATTGTCTGAACAATCAGACGGTGATTTTATCATATCCAATAGACTGCTCTCTAAATTTGAAATCTTTGAATGGCCATGGTGCTTGTTTTTATCCTAAAAGAACACAAATTCATTTATGTTAACGAATTCACACGTTTGTTGTATTTTGAGCATGTGGGCACGCGCGTTTTGTGATCACACAAAGAGATAGCTAGCTGAACCCATTATTTATCTTAGGACAGCTGTTTCTCTGGGATATTTCCCAGCGACACAACTACGCGAATATTATTTATTTCCTTCAACTCATAATTACAATTCTGCAGATAAATATTTCTGCCCAAGGCTTGTCTTCCCGAAACACTAATTGCATTTTGAACGAAATCGTTAAAATGCATGTTACTGTTAGGCCGTATTATTTTTTTCTATTACAAATTAAATATGCCTATATTATAGCATAAAACTCAAGATGTGATATAACCCATTCTTGGCTACATTTTCAATGAAATGACAGAATTTATTTTAAACATTTATCTGTGAGCTCCTGTGTCTATATTCAGAATCTCTCGTCGACATTTTTAAGACTTTTAGAACCATTTGCTGAAATTATACAACAAAATCCTCTATTTTTATGTAGTCGTATATTCGTATTCGTATAGAGATAAGGTCTTCTAACATACAAGACGCTTTATTTTTGGTAGTATTTTTTCTCATGTTTTCGCTGTAAAATGATTTCTGAATCAGTTTTATTTTCCGCGCGTATACGGAGACTATATATATATAGTAGTACACATTATGTTTGCAACTGTGTTTAAAAAAGCAGCAATGTAAATGCTCAAAACGGTTGCCTAACGTACAACTAAAATATAAACCATGTTGAACACTGAGAATATTTCGCTGTGAATTTTATATCCTATATACGATGTTGGAAATGTCGTATACAGATATACGAGTCCCTCAAATTTTTAATTGCGCACTTTATATGTTCAGCTTACAAATTATTCTTTGTTAAAAAAAAACCTTTTTCCTGTTTAAAACGTTTCTTACATAATGATTTAAAATGAAAATCGATTATAATCGAGTCATCTTGCTGTGACCGTAGAAGTCAAATTTTGTTGGGAAAACCTTACAGATTTTTCATGTCTTACATGAGTGGGAACTGAGGTATACAGCATCAGTCAAATTCCCTAACACACCGGTAAAGAACAGGCTTTTTATTGTCAACATTTGTCTATATGCCTATATAAGACCTTTAACAACACCTGAGAGAAATGTTCAGACAATTTCTCAAACACAACGATTGAAAAGAACTTTGTAAAGTCTTTCTATTTTTTTGTTGAAAATGAAAGCGATTCTTACCATATATAGAGAGTTGGACAATTCCGTTAAATTCCCAGATATTCCTAGGATGCCAGAGTCGCCAACTACTGTTCCATCAATAGGCCGCTCGGACAAACTCATCCCTTGCAAGCCTTGTGTTAAATTTGCCGTACAAACTGGTCTTGAATAAAGTCCGTTTAGATTCGACCTTTGTCCGCGAGGATGTCTGCTTGAGGGAGGAAATGACGGGCGACCGTTACTCAAAGCAACACCGTTTCTTTGTCCAATCACACTGACCTGGTTTGTCATACCGTAACTGGGACTTGAATGAAACTGCCAAGTTGGATTGGCAGAAAAGTGCTGCCAACCTGATACTGGCTGTCCGTTCGTAGCGTTCCATCCTGTTGAAGGTTTCGTAGAGCCGCCTATAGGTAAAAACGAGTATCCTGGTAGATTCCGTTTTCCTTGAGGCGCCATCGAAGTGGGATAATTCGAGTTTGGGATTCTGTTAGGTTTCGGCGCGTGATAATGGTTCGGTGTGTTTCCCGCGAACGAAATCGCCATTGTTTGAGATTGGATATCGTCTCGGCTTTGCGGTGTCCACAAGCTGCCTGGAGAAAGATCGTGAAACATTGAGTTAGTTGCTGTACTCGGCGCGGTGCTAAAAAAATGTCGCTTGAGTTCGCTTGACACACTGCCGTTGTTGCTCGCGAGTTGCGACTGTGAGAACGGGCCCCGAAACGTGTTTTCGTTCAGAAAATCGTCGTCCGTCAAGCAAGTCGGTTCGGAAGCCGTTGTCTTTTCATGAATATTGTCGTCTTTCAACGGACTCAAAAACAAACTGGTGCTGTTGTCAGGATTTTGAAACTCAACTGGTATCAAGTCTCTTCCTATTGCATGGCTCAAGTCAGCCATACCGTGCGCGATAGAAAGCGTTTCGATGTAGGACGTAGAGGAAAACAGACGTGTTCTAGATGACAGGTGGCCGTATTATGTCGCGCTCAAAAACAGCCGTATCACAAAGCTGTCCCCCCACACATGTCCCAGCTAACCATTATAGATCTCGCAGCAACCTTGGAACAGCCAATCAAAAGCAAGACAATTGATGTCGTCCCCGGAAGTCCGCGTTTTTAAATTATAAAACCGCGCTTCTGCGTCCCACTTGAAACCAGACGTTCTTCAACGTACGTCAGAATAATTTTCATTTGCCATTAAAGTTGTTTACAATACTTCAAATGCAATCGAAGAATCATTCGAAAATGGAATATGTGTATAATCTTTTCGAACTAATTTTAACGCTGCTGAGAACAACGAAACGATTGGGAAAGAGTCCTGGAGGCTGGTGCGAGTTTAGTTTTAAGTTTAGCGCGCGCAGTTATGTACGGTACACGTGACAAGCCAAAATGTTCTGCCGTTATCCATTGATATAAGAGAGGTTGAGATTTGACACCCACTACCTCTGACTGGTTTCGGTACGCATCTCATTGGTTAATCGGAGATATCCAACGCATCTGATTGGTTAATAGTCCCTTAACGGTAGCGGTAGTGGTAGTCAAATTTGAACCTCTCTATAATTGAAACTTTAGCCGAAAATATTTAAATTTTTTCTAGCCCCTTTCAGTTTCAACATTTCCGCACGAAAATTAACCAGTTACTAGTTGACCAGCCTATGCCCTAATCATGCAAGAAATGGATGGTTATAAGAAGAATCCCCCCCCCCCCCCCCCCCCCCCC